GCAACGGCAGCGGCAAAGCCATCTACGCATTCTGTTGTTCGCATTCATGGCGAAATCGAAACTTCCGTCGTTTTGATTGGCTGTGTCAGGTTGGAGGTAATTAAGGTTATTTAAGAAGTTCAGAGTTAAAAAGGTGGTAGATATGATGTTTCACAAGGTGCTGCTAGAGGTATGTGAAATCTTACTTCTGATTTTACTATATAAAACATAATAATAATCAACTTCTCCTTCATGTTTGCTCGGATATGTACAGAGCATCCTGTCCGCTCATTGGTCAGTGAATGAAACCTCCGTTGATTGGTCCTCGTCCGAGCGACAGCGATGAAAAGTTGAAAATATTTTTACTTTCTGGGATCGCGTTGCTGGTGTAACCGTCTCTTCTTGTCCGTCCAAGGTAACTGGAGTTTTTTTTTCTTTTTGTTGCCTCAAATCACCGCACACATACAATCAGGCCACAGACACAGGACTGCCCTTCTAAGCTTTTTACTGGCAGGATCTGATATAAAAACAAGCACACAATAGTTTATCAGTGTGTGTGCGCTGCAACTGCATACAATGGTCTCCACCAGCTTTCATTACTGCTTTGGTTTTTTTTCTTACATGTGATCGTATAGTGACATTTAATAACAACAGCAATATATTAATTTACCAACTTGCATTTCAGAGCAATACATATTTTCTTTTGATAAAACATATAAAATAGTTAATAGTAACAACAATGACTTAAAGAGCAAGTCAACCCCTACCAGATTCTAACTCCACTCCCACTTCATGTTTGAAAAATGCAGCAAATGCTGTTGCCTGGCATACCGAGAGGGCGGAGCTGCTAACAAATACACACACACAGGCTCACAACAGCATTGTGACATCATAATGTACCAGATGACATCATAGCATACCTCTTAGCCAATAGCGGTGGCAGATTTAAATTAGAATACAGTGCAGAGTTTTTACCTGACAACGGCACAACACTGCCAGTTTTAGGCAGAATATTTAAATTTTAACTAAGATGTACTGAAGTGTCAAATTATTGACGACACGTGTCTGCAGCACGATTAGACACTCGTTTATTTAGTTTATTAGCAAAAAAAAAGTTTATTTGGGGGTGACTTGCTCTTTAACAGCACAGCCGCCAACAGTTGAAACAGTTAACTTCCATCAGTAGGTATAACTGCCACCAGCAGTTGAAACAATAAAACATTTACAAATCATATTTTTACCAAACACATCTGAACCTACCTGATATAAAAACAAGCACACAATAATTCATCAGTGTGTGTGCGCTGCAACTGCATACAACGGTCTGTTCAAGGCAAAAAGAAAAACCAAACATTACTAAAAGGACTGAAAAGCTAGCTTCCATTAGCTTAGCATGCTAACCAGAGTGAATCTCATCTATAAAATTATTAATGTAATGCAAACACAGCTAACCTTTTTCAAAATATGCTCTAACAACACTTATATATCTGTAACAGGTCCTATTAATATATTAACTAAAGGTTAAAATGACTTAAACAGAAGTTAAGTGCAGAGCCGCTTCCCAGTGCACCTACCTCCTCCAGCTTTCATTACTGCTTTGGTGGGAGGGGCCGTGAGTGCGCCTGAAGGACCCGTTGCATGCAGTTGCGCCTAACCACCAGTAGGCGGCTCCAAAAACACAACCAATTCCTGCACATCACTTTTGGTGAAATTCACATTTTCATCTGTTACACCGGGTCGCCTGTGCACGACACATGCACAAGTGCAAAATTTCACACGCACATTTTTCGCGTTTCGCTTAGTAGGAGGGAGACCCACGATTATCGCTTTGTCGCGCATGACTCATTGAAAATGAATGGAGGAGAGGCGATGTCGCCTCCCGTGTGCAGAGCCCCTAAAAATAAAGCATCCACAGATAGTTGTGATATAGATATGACTCTGATTAAAATAATTATATGTACTATCTCCAAACCTCTAATTTACATATTTCATTCATCATTTGAAACAGGAACCTTTCCAAATAACATGAAAATAGCAAAAGTAATACCATTGTACAAGCATGGAAACAAACATATATTCACTAACTACAGACCAATCTCTCTGCTACCTCAGTTCTCTAAAGTTTTAGAGAAACACTATAACAACAGATTAGATAACTTCAATGTAATTATTGAAAGTCAGTATGGCTTTAGATCAGCAAGATCTACATCTATGGCAATATTGGATGTAGTAGAAGAGATCACAAATATGCAGCTGGAATTTTTCTTGATTTGAAAAAAGCCTTTCATACGCTTAATCATGATATATTACTTCAAAAATTGGAAAACTATGTAATTAGGGGAGTGGCTTTGAGTTGGATACAATGTTTATTTAGCAGAGAAGCAGCAATACATGAAAATGGGTAAGTTTAAATCAAGGTATTTGGGCATTATTTTTGGGGTACCACAGGGATCGATACTAGGCCCAAAGTTGTTTAATTTGTATATTAATGACATTTTTAATGTATCCAAAAAGTTTAAACTAATTCTTTTTGCAGACGACATCAATATTTTTTATACTAGTGATAATCTTAGTGATTTATTTAATAATATTAATAACAAACTACTTAAATTAAAAACATGGATGGATAATAATAAATTACTATATATATATATATATACACCCTGCGGGTGGTGGGTCCACAGTTGGATGAGCCCATACATCTGGTTCGGGCTGGGCCTGGCGGGGCCCCATGGGCGAAAGCCCGGCCACCAGGTGCTCGATCACAGGCCCAAACCGCAGGCCTGGCTCCAGGGTGGGACCCCGGTAACCCTTCGGGGCCGGGTACTCAGACTCTTTGAATTTACATCCATGAAAGTTCCTCTGAAAGTACATCTGTCAAAGTGCATCCAATCAAATGTTACCCTGTTTTTCCACAGACCTGCAGTAGTAGTAGTAGTTGTGAGTTATCAAAAACAGAATTCCCAACCAAGTCCTGCACTTGAGTCACTCAGGCAGTGTCCTGTTTCTACACCACAGCAGCATTTGAATAATCAGAAACATTTAGACCTGAAACTGTTATGCTGTTGGATTCAAAAAGAAGAAATGTGACCCATTATTAGGAGACAGGAATCAGAAAAATTATCTTGACACACTGAATTTAAAATATTCTTGTCAAACGTGTTTAGATAAAACGTGTTAAAAACCATCATTTCTTTCATTTATCAGTCCACAAACCTCCCATTTTCAGGAAGCACATGGATGTGTTTATTCTGAAGTATGTTTGTTTACTTCCTCAAGCGGCTGTATTGAATAACAGGCGTTCCTGCAACAGGGAAACGCTGAGCAGAGCGTGTGTTTCCCGCTCTGAGGCTGATTTGGTTCGTATCTCATTACGCAGCCAGCAACACGAAGCCTTAACGATACGATGAAACCCTGAGCTGATTCGATACCAAACGGTAAACGGCCTGTATTTGATATAGCACCTTCTAGAGTCCTGGGACACCCAAAGGCGCTTTACAACACAATCAGTCATTCACCCTTTCACACACACATTCACACCCTGGCGCACACAGGCTCCACCGGTCCCCCTGACCACCACCAGCGGGGGGGGGTAGTGTCTTGCCCAAGGACACAACGACAGTGATAGACTGAGCGGGTCTCGGACCTGCAACCTTCTCATATGAAAGGATTCAACACATCAAACAGAATGTGCACATCTGGATTTAAACATGATCACAATGGTTGTCCCTCTCCTCTGTGAAGAATGTCTTTGGTCCTCTATTGTTTGATGTATCAATAAATCAAACAACGCTCTTCATCAGTGACGTTTCCATATCAGAAAATTAACCCAAAAGAATCAGGAAATAATTAGCGTTCATCTCATAATTATTCTGAACCACAGTAAGCATCTGGACATCCTGTTTAAATATGGTACTGATCCATAAGCGGTGATGCTAACAGCTGTTGTAGGAGATGTGGGTGCATCTCATCGCTTTAGCACTTGGCTCTTGTTGAAGAGATGAAGCGTTTAATGTGCCTCTAAAACACCACAAGCAGGTCATCTAAGAGGTAACCGATGTAACCACGTTTTCACTGATGAGAGAAACACACCACGATAAAGCCGTCAGCTGTGACCGACACAAACGGAAGCTACCGGTGCAGTCGCATCGCTAACGTGATCGTAATCAGTGACTCTCTCCATCCCTAGTGCACGCTGGTTGAAATCACATCAGCAATCAGATTCTTAGAATATCTTTATTGTAGTGAGATTAGCTCCAGGAGAGAGGCTGGTCTGGACTGAGACAGCTGATCCTTTAGGTAGCAGAATATACACACATTTAGTCTCATGAAAAGGAAACACCAGGAAAAGCTCACAGGAGTGAGATTAGGATTGAGAGGAATGAGGACCACAGAGGTTATGAAGATGAGTATTGAAGCTCTACTGCACATGAACTGCAGTCACTGATGTTGAGCAGTAAAATGCAGCAGATGGTGGGAATTATTCTGGACTAAAATATGCCGGGATTTACAGAGGGAGGTGTGTGTGTGTGTGTGTGTGTGTGTGTGTGTGTGCGTGTGTGTGTGTGTGTGTGTGTGTGTGTGTGTGTGTGTGTGTGTGTGTGTGTGTGTGTGTGTTCATGTATGTATGTGTGCGTATGTGTGTGTATGCATGTGTGTGTGTGTGTGTGTGTGTGTGTGTGTGCGTATGCATGTGTGTGTGTGTGTGTGTGTATTCATGTGTGTGTGTGTGTGTGTGTGTGTGTGTGTGTGTGTGTGTGTGTGTGTGTGTGTGTGTGTGTGTGTGTGTGTGTGTGTGTGTGTGTGTGCGTGCATGCATGCATGCGTGGGTGTGTGTGTCATCATGACATGATGCTGCTAATCCACACCCTCTGTTCGAGGGAAGGGGCATTACCATGTGAACAGATATGTGTGATGGGAAGTGTTCCACACGTCTGCCCGAGGCAGTTGAATCATAATGTAAAGCCTGATAATCCCAGTGCAGACAGATTAGGATGGGAGGTGAAAGAGATTCTTCCTACCTTTCCTTGTAAGCTGATCAAACCTTGAACCTGCAAAGAAAGCAGAAAAACATCATTTCCACTAAGTCACATGTTAAAGTTAAAGTCCCATTTGTTGTCATACACACAGGTGTGTGTGCGAAATTTGTTCTCCGCATTTGACCCATCCCCTGTGGGAGCGGTGAGCTGCAGACACAGCCGCGCTCGGGAACCATTTGGTGGTTTAACCCCCCAATCCAACCCCTTAATGCTGAGTGTCAAGCAGGGAGGCATTGGGTCCCATTTTTTCAAAGTCTTTGGTATGACCCGACCAGCTAGTTTAGCTAGTTTTTTTCGCCAATATCTAGGGCTTTCTTATGAAACAGTAAGGAATGAGATTTGGACTTATTAAAAAGAAGTTTAATGGCCAACAGCCACTGCTGAACAGAATTAAAGTCTTGTTGTAGCGAAAAATGTATCTCAGTGAGAGTTGGCTTATTACAATAAATAACTGTGTCATCTGCATAAAGATGAATATTACAGTCTGTGCAGCACAGGGGCATATCATTAACATAAATGGAAAACAATAAAGGTCCCAAGAAAGAACCTTGGGGGATGCCTTTAGATATTCCAGTAAAATTTGACTGACAGCCCCTGTACAACACACACTGGCGACGATGATTTGGCAGGCGCGCAGATAGGGTGGGGGACGGGGGGGATCTGTCCCCCCCAGATTCAGATCGACCCCGATCCGTCCCCTCCATCGAAGGCCAGAAAGAAAACAAAATAGGAGGTTAAGCGCTTGAAGCTCCTTTTTCCAATTACATTGAATGCAGCATGCCGTAAACAAACACCGACTCCAGAGGCACCAAAGTGGTTGCTGCTAGGATGCAGGATGAAGCGAAAAAGGCAAGCAACGATTACTGCGTATTTAAAAAAGACCAACAGTGTAAGTAGGCGGGACCGATCTGTCTGTTTATGCATGTTGGTTCTAGTTTCAGTACTTTGTTGTCAGTGTTGGGACTTACTCGTTATAAGTGCCAAAGCCTCATTGCTGACTTTAACAAGTCTCATCTACAAATATGAAGTTACTACTTTACATCAGAAGATAGTGGAGATGTGGAACCTTCAGGCTGAGCAAAGTTTGAGAGTTTTTAGAGTTTGAAAAATGACTCCCGCCTAGAGGCTCCCAGTCAGGGAGAGGAGGAGATGTGCGCAGCATGAAGGGCGCAAATATTAGATAAAACGTATAATTGCCGGCAGGTCTGGTCTTTGTTGACTGATCACTTTGTGTGGTCATGACTGACTTTGATTATGAAGCTGATTATTGACTCTGATGAAGAAATTCACTCATCCAGCCGGGATGCTGCAGCATCAGACAGCTGGTGCTGCACGAGAGGTGTGTGGGGTTTATGAGCTCCAAATGTTGGGTTTGATGTTGGTTTAACCTTCTCTGGGACGTGATGGATGTAGAAACGATGGTAAAACACCGCTAACGTGACAGACGTAGCGACAATGTAAAAAAATAAATAAAAAGCCGTAAAAAAGAGGCAGATGCCGATGTGTTTGTATGGAAGTCAAGTGTGCCACATAATCATAAAAAAGTAAAATATAAAATTTAAAAAGAGATTTATCTATTTATATATAAATTAAAACTTTCCAACTATAATGAAAATGTATAAATAACGTAAAAATACGAAGGAACATCTGTTGGTCAGGCTGAAAAGTTTGGGAACCACTGCTCTAAGTGATAAGTGAATTTCGTTTTTTTAATATATTTTATGTGCAGTTTTTTAGGGCTTTTATGTTTTCTGTAAAGATTGGTATGCTGAAAATCATTTAATGTTTTGCATAAAGCATGAGGTTTTGGTTAGTAATTGGAAGAATAACAAATGACTGAATTAAATAGTGGAGCGCCTCTGTCAGTGTGCCCCAGGGCAGCTGTGGCTACATCATAGCTCATCACCATCAGTGTGTGAATGTGTGTGAATGGATGAATGATACACTGTAGTGTAAAGCGCTTTGGAGTCCTTACTCTGAGAGGCGCTACACAAGTGCGGATCATTTATACTTTATAGTGTTGATCAGGCAGAGCTTCGTTGCCAGTGTTCCACTGCATAATGGCTTCAGACACGTATATAAAAGTTAGTATTTACGTAAACCACTGGAGGAAATTACACAAACTGACTGAGCTCTAGTTAAGGTGCTTGCGATAGTTTGTGTATGTGTACGTGTGTGTGTGTGTGTGCGTGTGTGTGTGTTTGTGTGCGTGCGCGTGTGTGTGTGTGTGTGTGTGTGTGTATGTGTGTGTGCGTGTGCATGTGTGTGTGTGTGTGTACGTGTGTGTGTGTGTGTGTGTGTGTGTGTGTGTGTGTGTGTGTGTGGGTGTGGGTGTGTGTACGTGTGTGTGTGGGTGTGTGTGCGTGGGTGTGTGTGTGTGGGTGGGTGTGTGTGCATGTGTTTGGGGGAGGGTACATTGGAACTTTGTCCCCCCCAGTTTGAAAATCCTATCTGCACCCCTGGATGTAGGTAAGAGTTAAACCAAAGTAAGGATGATTTTGAAAGGCCTGTAGCATGCGAAGTATCCAGTACAAGATAATGGTCAACTAAATCAAATGCTTTGGAGAGATCTAAGAAAATGGCACCAGTGCACAAATTATTATCAAAACTAGAGAATACATCATTGGTAAATTTCAAGAGAGCAGTGGTAGTAGAGAAGTATTTTCTGAAGCCAGACTGGCATATTTTTACTGTGACAATAATCTGCTGAAAGACTTTTTTGAAAATCAAACATAAATGTGATTTTCTGCTAAATTCAGAACATGCGGATTAGACAACGTTATTAGGAGTTATTATGAAGCAGCAGAAACTTCAGAATACATGTAAAACTTTTCTGAATGCTGTAACAGTTCATAAGGGCTACTGTTCCTTTATGAGATGTGGTGCTGAAGACTGAACCTGAGAGTAGGAGGTATGAGTTAATCTCAGCGGTTAAGGACAAAATGTCCTTCTGTCTGGTGTTTTAGTTCACCACTAACATCACAAGAAGAAGAAATGAGCTCGCTGCCTAAAGCTTCTGGGGTGCCGCGCGTCGTGTGCAGAAGCTGCTGCAGAGACAATCTCTGATGGATTATTGAAAACCTGTGTCATGGAATCAGAGCAAGTTATCCGTCTCCATTAGTGGTCTTCAGGAAGATTCTTTTCTTTTGGCTACTTAAGAGAAGATGCACGTTGGTCATAATGTCCGCAGATTTAAAGTTTTTTGTGGGACAATATTAAAACACGTCAGCATTGTCCGACTGCCTGTCGTGTTTTCACCATCATTGTAGTCAGAGTGTGAAGGTTCTCAGTCATCCAGGTCATGGTAATCCAAAGTGTTCAGATGAAGACAACTGGGCTTCTTTGGTTTCTTGGAGACGTTTCACTTCTCATCTGAGGAGCGTTGTTAGTTCTAACTGGAATATGGGAGAGTCAAGCTGTAGCTGTCTGTTGTTATTTAACTAGCAGAGACTACTCTGAGTGCCCCTCCTCTCCATCCCCTGATGTGTGGTTGTGTTGATTAGACACAGGAAGGTGTGACCTGGACTGAAACTGCTTGAGATTAAAGCTGCATTATAGGTACTGGAAAGGTTAAATCTAAGCCCTTCCCCTATTTCAGTGTAGTCAGAAAGGTCAGACAGACCTAAACGTGAATTAAAACGACATCATCATTTAAAAGAAAGGCGCTTCACATGGAATACAATTCTAAATGTATTTTTATTCCCACTCCAATAACTTCACGTCCATAGGACTCATGTGACCTACTGTGTGTGTGTGTGTGTGTGTGTGTGTGTGTGTGTGTGTGTGTGTGTGTGTGTGTGTGTGTGTGTGTGTGTGTGTGTGTGTGTGTGTGTGTGTGTGTGCGTGTGTTATTGACTAACTATCTCTCTGGACTGGGAGGTTAATTAAACTTCTCCCCAGCCGTAGGCCTAAAGTCGTTATATCCATTTTGCGAGTCAGTAACACGTGTGTTAGAAACATCACGTGTCCATCGCTGTAGGATGCTTCACAAATTGTTGAACTGCAAATCCTCATTAGAATTGAAAACCATCTTTCAGTTACACAGGAAAATGTTGGTCAACAACATGAACAGCATGTGTTTTTAACAGTTTATTTCTACAGTTGCCAGGCAGAATAAAAACTGATGGTAACTGAACACACCTCAGCTGGTGGCACAACGCCAATGCCGTTGTCACCTCTCGCCTCGACTATGAAAACTCGCTATTAGTCAGGACTCCGGCTTTGGCCCTGAATCGCTTGCAGATTGTGTAGAACGCACGGCTGTACTGGCCATTGGGCAAGGCAGTAATTTTGGGTCGCTGCGGAGTTGCTGGTAATCCAGAAAAGGAAACTGCTTAGTCAATCACCTGACCTGAATGGCATGAAATTAGTCTCTGAGAACAAAGTAAGGAACCTTGGTGTTATCTTTGATGAGCACATGTCATTCAAATCCCACGTTAAACAGGTTTGTAGGATTTCCTTCTTCCACCTTCGGAATATTGCTAATATTAGAAGCATCCTTTCCAGGAGTGATGCTGAAAAACTAGTTCATGCATTTATTACATCAAGATTGGATTACTGTCAGAAAGTCCACAGAATGTAGCTAAAAGTCTTCAGCAGTGGCGGCTGGCCAGTAGAGGGCGATAGGGCACCGTCCTCCCAGTTTCCCCAGTGTTTTTAATTTTTATTTAACAAAATAAAATAAAATTAACAATAATCACATATTCTAAGTTAATTGTGTGTTTTGTAACAACAATAAATCATATATATATATATATATATATATATATATATATATATATATATATATATATATATATATATATATATCTTCCGGTCTCTCTTTTTTTTTTTTTTTTTTTTGTCTCTGCCGGTCTCTGCCGAGCGGTGGAGGCTGTGGGCTGTGTTTCAATCGCCCAAACAGGACGGGACCAGCTGTCCAATTGCTGACAAGAAAATCAAAGGGTAGGAATGGGAATGTATCCAATCAGCGTCAACGTTGTTTCAGAAGCATGATGGGCGATAGAGCTACC